TTTTTTTATCATTCGCTTCTATAATGCATTCAAAAGTATATGAAATTTAATACATTTGAAATTTGAAGAGACGGAAGCTACAATTAAATCATTTTTTATGCATCAGAATCTCCACCAATTCACCTCATCGGGCCGTTAATCGCAACAATAAACCGTCGCTAGAAGTATCAACAAAAAAACTTCCCGACCTTAATTTTCCTGTGCAATGGAAATACGAATACTCCAAGGAGATGGAAGCTATATCCCTCGCCCATCCAATTAAAATCCCCCCCCCCCTCTCCCATTGACGTTGAATGGAACCATCGAGTATCTCTGAAATAGTTGGAGATCGAGGACTCTCGAAACTTTATTGTATCTGAACGATATCAATTGACAACCGAGTAAGTCTGAATGCGAATCAGTTCAGAAGTTTGCGGGTTCGAGGTCCTCAACTCGATCAATCAACTTCCGCGAGAGCTGATGAACTGCGAGCCCACTGCGCTCAAGTTATTGTTATCTCGATAATTAATGCTTCTATCTTCCGTCTTTTGTTGTTGGAACAATGGCTCATCGTTACGGAGATGTCGCCAGTCTCTGTCATAACTATCCAAGTTTTTGTTTATTTGCTTCATGAAATGTTAACGGGTTTCAATTAACAAAAAAATTTGTCAACTCGAATTTTCGCATCATAAAATCTAGATGCGATGCTTGGTTACTCCATTTTTAATGACATAATGGTCACGAGAGTTTGGAAAAATTAAAAAATCATGAGTAATTTGAATTATGAATTTCCGGTGGGAGACAATAAAAACACTTAGTGAAATCAATTTACGGTAGAACCCTCATCATTTCCAGCATCACAAGCCAAAATATTTACTCGCTTCGAGTCAGCCTGACAATTTTCTCCCCAAAGCTCGCAATTGTAGGTACATTTGCCACTTCGCATCTCTCGAAATATCAACCAGAGTCCCACTCCCTTCGACGGTCTACTTTATCACCCTCACCGCCCCGCGGAAACTTTTGCAATTAGTACCCTGACAGCTGGAGAATGTTAATTCCTTCAACTTTGGTCCAGCCACGCGCAAGGTCCTTCTCTCGTCGTCGTCTGCATTCGTGAATTTGAGTTTTTCCCGTCTCATCGCTCAAGTCCATAAAACTTTATTTATTTTTCTCCATCCCTCCCTTTTCCTATTGTCGGTAAGCGCCCGAGTTTTCTCGGGTAATGGCGGCACCTCAACTGGGAGTCGACGGTTTTTGCGGGAAAATGGATCAGCTGGAGTTGATGCCCAGTTTTTTGTGGATGCTGTTAGGAATGGTTAGGAATTATACGCAAGTAACGAAGTTTCTGATTAATTAATTCATCTATCTCATGTGAGCATAGTAACGGTATAAATCACCTCAATTCAATTGTTATTCATTGATTTGATAAGTAATTCATTACGTCAACCAACGCTTTTAATTTATATTAATTCAACAAAAAAACCTGATGATCACCCAGAAATATTTCTTTTTCAACTGAATTACTCTCTTTAAAATTGCTGACGACCGCTGATGCCAATCTACTATCATTTTCACTTGACGATTTCTGAGATAATTCAAAAACCAACTTGAAAAATATAATAGTTCACCTGTTCATTCATTATTTATTGATCATCAACTGTGAATCACAGATGTTATGATGACCCCAGTACGGGAACGCCACCGCCAGGTGGCGCAGTAACCAATCCCAAACGCCAAACCCTCACCACTCCCTCCACGATCACTTTCTCACTAATTATCCACCTCATACAATAACAATAACACTACAATCCACTCACTACCAGTTCTACATTTTAGAATCATCCTTTCGAGGCTCGTTACCAAATAATTTTCAACGCTTAAAACCCATTCAATATAAATAGAAAACTGATCAACATTCACAAATGTAATTTATTACGTCTATTGGGATATGGGTATAAGTGGATAAATAAATGTAGTAACGCAATGAATACTTTTAACTTGAACTCTTTATTATTGGCACGAGGAAGGCACGACTGTACTAGAGGACCGTTGTCCAGAGACTAAATTCTAACTATTTGAAAAACCTTTAATGAGGGAAAAGCAAGACAAAGTTTATGACTCCAGAGGACAGAGTTTCCTTTGAATTTCTACATGTGGTAAGGATTGCAACGCTCTCGAGTTCGGAGCACAACGGATCATAAATTAGTCCTTTTCTGGGGACTTTCCCCAACACGTCATAAACCTTGTCGAGTGATTTTTGAAGAAAAACAAAAGAGCTGTGTTCAAATATTCCAACAACGTCAACTAACGCTTTTAATTTATATTAATTCAACCAAAAGAAACTGTGATGATCACACAGAAATATTTTTTCTTCAACTGAATTACTCTCTTAGAAATTGCTGACGACCGCTGATGCCAATCTACTATCATCTTCACTTGACGATTTCCCAGATAATTCAAAAACTAACTGAAAAAAAAAAACGGTAGTTCACCTGTTCAGTCATTATTTATTGATCATCCCCTGTGAATCACAGATGTAGTGATGACCCCAGTACAGGGACGCCAACGCCAGGTGGCGCAGTAACCAATCCCAAGCGCCAAACCCTCACCACTCCCTCCACGATCACTTTCTCACTAATTATCCACCTCATACAATAACAATAACACTACAATCCACTCACTACCAGTTCTACATTTCAGAATCATCCTTTCGAGGCTCGTTACCAAATAATTTTCAACGCTTAAAACCCATTCTATATAAATAGAAAACTGATCAATATCGATAAACGCAATTTCACTGGGCTATAATTCACGATTCACTCCACCGCGAAACCGGGTCAATTAATCGTTAAATTTGGATGGAGCCTGATAAATAGTGTAACATCCCCGAGGTAAGAATTGAATTAACCGCGAGACAGAAACTCGACCACGGGTGAGATTATACCATGGTAAAATGTCCCGTCCCTCCTGCGCCCTTTGTGGAGTTGTTTACTCGACGACGCAATCTCTCCCTGAGCTGACCGTAAAGTTTTGATATCTCGATTAGCCTCCGTTGCATCTCAGGGGCATGCCAGCGAACTGCTGTGTAATAGGCCAACATCAACTATAGATATATTGAAACAGTGGAGGCAATTTCGTTTGGTTGAGAAAGTTATTTCATACTTCTGACGTAGAAATTGCTGATCGTAAAAATAAAGTCTATTATGGCTATTTGACTATAATCCGGGGGAAATGGAAACATTTGTTTGTGATACTGCTTTATGATTAAAATGATCATCGTAGTAATTGCTTTGAGGAATTATTTGAAATTTCAGACTTTCCAGGAGTGAATATTATTTATTTATATTTCAGGGTTTGAAGCGACTTTATTTCTAATTTCTTGATATTACTTCATTTATTAATTGAAATAATACTTTTGTTCAAGATTTCAAAGGTCTTAAAATAGGTTTTAAAGGCGTCTTCAATTTAAATTGGTAAGTTTTAACTTGAGACTTTTGAGACTTTCGATCGGAGACTTCAGGAAGTTTTCTCCTTGAGGATTTTGAAGATCTCTACTTGAGACTTTTGAAATTAACTAATAAGATTTGTTGAAAAATCTGTGTGGTTTAAAAGTCTCAATTTAAGCTGTCGGAATATGTCTCAAGTTCAGATTTTGAAATGTCTGAATTGGAGACTTTGGAAGGTCTTAATTTCAGACTGTTAAAGTCTCAAGGAGTGATTATCGAAGGTCTCCATATAAGACTTTTATAGACATAAAGTGAGACTCGAATGCTTCAAGTTAAAACTTTCAAAGGTCAACTTGAAATTTTTGGTTAAGTTGAGTTCTGAGAGTCTCAATTCAAGACTTTTGAACTAAAATTTTGTTAATTTTAGACTTGAAAGTCTCGATTTGACACTTTGGAAAATGTCAACTTGGTTTGCAAGTCTCTACTTGAGACTTGTGAAATAAACAAATGGGTTTCGCGGAAGTTTTAATTAGAGATCTCAATTAAAACTTTCGTAACGTCTCAAGTTGGGACTTCGAAAAGTCTCAACTTGAGGATTTCGAAGGTCTCTACTTCGAACTTTTTAAATAAATAGGATTTGCAAAAGTCTTGATTAGAAATCTCAATGTAAGATTTTTCAATATCTCATGTTGAGATTTTGAAAGGTCTTAATTTGAGATTTTCGAAGTCTAACATTGAAACTTTTATAGACTTAAATATCGACTTGTTGGCACTTTCGAAACTCAACTTGAAACTTTTCGTTAATTTGAGCTCTGAGATTTTCAGCTTGAGACTTTTAAAAGTCTTAATTTGAAATGAAGTCTCAAAAAAAATTTTTTTTTGCGTATAGTTATATTCACAGTTACATTATAACCGAATGTATCGATGAGGGAAAACGTCACATGATTTTTTTCAAAAGGAAAGTATGAAAAAAATACTTTTAAATATTTCAAATAATGAAATACAACTATTTCAAGATGTTTTCACCAACAATTACCTCCAAATGATATTAGTCTCACTACAAATACCAAAAAGTCCGAAATATTCCAATTAAGTAATGCATCCCACGTGAAATTCCGAGTGCCGAGGGATTTTTATTTTTAACTTTAATACGCCAAGCTGTGAAAATACAACGGCGTAAATAGTGTAGAAGTACATAACACTCGCACTCCCTGTTTTCATTGCAATATAAATGCAGCGAAAGAGGATGGAAGGGAGAAATGGCCTAGAACTAATATTGAAAGTGCAATCGGCTGATGCGAGTTTAACGCGTTTGATTCTAGCTGTGAATCCAATCGGAATCACTATTCCAAACGTTCTGTACATGTATAACGTTTTCCTATATTTATTATTATCACCTTGCGGTCTCTCAACGGTAACAGGAACATTCTATTCGTCCTGATGCGCATCACGAGTCTCGGAATATTATTTTTGCAATTCAGCGCGTTTATTTTATTACCCACAGTCGATAAGTCATCGACTTCTTGGGAAAAAAATCGGATTGTCCAGCTGTAGGCAATATAGAGAATGACTTACGGTGTGCGGGTTCTGCTTTCCTCCTGGAGTCGCGGCCCTTCTCCTGAGAGTTCATTATCTTCTGTTTCCACCAGCCTAAAATCAAAATCAATCGTCGCATTCATATTTTCGAATTTATTTCGATTTCAATTGATTTTGTTTATTTCAATTTTTATTTATATTCATTATTTTCTTATTATTTTATTTTTATTTACGTTTTTTAAATTTTTTTTTTCATTTTTAATTAATTTTGATTTTAATTAATTACTTATTCTGAACAGTCTCCTAACAGATGGCGGTGGATCTCTATTCCTGGTATGACAGGGAGTTCTTTTATCGACGGAGGCATCGCAAACTACGATATCGACTGTTGAAGGCTCCTTAAATAAAAAAGAATGAAAACAAATGAGAAATTAGCAATTGAAAATTTTAAACATTAACATATCGTAATTTTTCGCATAATTTGATATTCACCAGATGTGAGATCATTATATCTAATGCGATACAATCGTTGCCTTGAATAAAGTAGTCACTTGCAGTAGATAACAGCCTAAAAGTCACAATTTAAAGTGCACTAAAAATATTATTTCACTGTTGATCAGAATGGGTCGTCTGTGTCGTATTCCAAACGTTAATGACCACAATGAGGGGATCACAAACACTAATCACAGGTCACGCTGATCGCAAACTGATGTAAATATCGTCTAAAAAGCCTCATCACTCTCCAAACTTTCCCGTCATGCTGACGACGGTCCAAGGAATTAGACAGTCTGAGTGAATATCTGGCGGCGATCCAGTTCTGGTGACACCCACATCAATGACAATACGGATATTTCACGATTTTTTTTCTTTTTCCAATTTGTTGACTCAAGTTGGAATTCGAGGTAACACGTGCCAACAATTTTTTTTGTTTCTTTTTTAAATTGATAAATTATAGTTTTAAAGAGCTCACGTTATCTTGAATAACATTACAGCTCTTCATTCATTTTTTATTTCATAATTATCAAATAGTTAATAAAATTGCGGAATTTTTCGCACATTTATTAAAATCCAAACGATCTACTTTATTTTTTCTTTGTTTTCATTTAAAAAATGTATGAAATATTTTCAGTTCCCTTATTATTCCGGTCTACTGGTTCTGAAATAAAAATGATTCCATCACAAAGGTATAAATAAATACTAATGATAAGCCGTAGATGGAAAAAATTCTGGAGAAGAAAAATTCGAAGTAAAAGTTTTAAAAAAGTTTTTCCTCATTTTTTTAAATTAAAAAATAATAATTTCAAAGAATGACTTTACACGTCTTCATTCATTTTTTTATTTCGTAAATAAAAAATTATAAAACCGGAATTTTTCGCACATTTTTTAAAATCTTAACGATCTACTTGAATTTTTTATTCTTTCCATAAAAAAAAGAATGAAATTTTCTTATTTTCCTGATTATTTCCAGTCTCCAGCTTCTGAAAACAAGAATTCCATCGAAAAGGTTTAAATAAACCCTAATGATAACCCGTCGATAGAAAAAAATCTGGAGAAGGGAAATTCGATGTAAAATTTACCAAAAAGTGTTCTGATTATTTTAAATTAGCAATAAAAAAATAAAAATAATTCAAAAAAGATCTTACGTGACTCTGAGTGACTTCACAGTTCTTCATTAACTTCTGATTTCATAAATAAAAGAAATAATAAAATTACGGAATTCTTCGCACATTTTTTTTTTAATCTAAACGATCTACTTTAATGTCATTTCTTTTTGCATAAAAAAATGTACGAAATACTCTCATTTCTCTGATTATTTCCAGTCTCCTGCTTCTGGAAAAAAATATGGTTCCGTCGAAAAGGTATAAATAAATCCTAATGATAACCCGTGGATGGAAAAAAATATGGCGAAGGGAAATGCGAAGTAAAATTTACCAAAATGTTTTCTGATTTTTTTCAATTGAAAAATAATAATTCAAAAAAGATCTCACGTGACTGTGAGTGACTTCACAGTTCTTCATTACTTTCTTATTTCATAAATGAAAGAAATAATAAAATTACGGAATTCTTCGCACATTTTTTTTTGAATCTAAACGATCTACTTTAATGTCATTTCTTTTTGCATAAAAAAATGTACGAAATACTCTCATTTCTCTGATTATTTCCAGTCTCCTGCTTCTGGAAAAAAATATGGTTCCATCGAAAAGGTATAAATAAACCCTAATGATAAGCCGTGGATGGAAAAAATTCTCGAGAGGGGAAAAACTCAAAGGATTGCCGGGGATTCGTCCTAATACGAGACTGTTACCAAGCATTAGTTAACTGTATATTTGTCCAGCACATTCGCTGGTTTCCAGATAGTAACTGTCTCAGGTGCAATCATGAGTTAGCCTACAAGGAAAGCGTTTAATGCCCTTTTGAGAAGGCGCTCTCTTTGGCTCATCGTCGCAAGAAAGTCCGCACAGTTACTTGAGTCCCCGAGTGAAGTACTGAGAAATTTATGTGGCGATCCCGGGGACAGGGCAATTGCACTAGGCACACGGGGTGCTTCATGATCCATCGGAATGGTCGGGCTGGTAATTGGGACCGGGTGGGAGAACTGACTTCTGAAGCGATTGCGGAATTTTCCCGGTGGGGGAAGGGCAGTTTTGGGCTGTGCGGAAAGTAGGGGTTTGGAGGTGTCAGCGGACGGTAATCCGTCATAACGGGTAACTCGGGGATGACTGAAATTTGGAATATCTCAAGATTTTCCGAATCATATTCCGGAAATTTTTATTGTTTTTGTATTATGTCATTTCAGGAAATCTTGTCATGGAAAAATCAATATTCCATTGATTTTATGTTCGGATAATCTGAAAATCAATAGAATACTTAGCCGCGTCTCTCTAAATTCTAATTCTCTTAGAGTTTTTTTTTCAATTCTTTTATTTTTATTTTATGTTACTTGATTTTTCAATTCTATTATTTCGTGAAAATTCTGAAAAATCAGGGAAAATTTGAAAATTCATGTCATTTTCGTTCTGTATAATATTATGATTATAATAACAATAATAATAATAATAATAATAATAATAATAATAATAATAATAATAATAATAATAATAATAATAATAATAATAATAATAATAATAATAATAATAATAATAATAATAATAATAATAATAATAATAATAATAATAATAATAATAATAATAATAATAATAATAATAATAATAATAATAATAATAATAATAATAATAATAATAATAATAATAATAATAATAATAATAATAATAATAATAATAATAATAATAATAATAATAATAATAATAATAATAATAATAATAATAATAATAATAATAATAATAATAATAATAATAATAATAATAATAATAATAATAATAATAATAATAATAATAATAATAATAATAATAATAATAATAATAATAATAATAATAATAATAATAATAATAATAATAATAATAATAATAATAATCATTATTGTTATTAATAATAAACGATGTGCAAAAAAACATTGGGAAGCATATTGTTAATTTATTACCAAAAATTACTATAGCAATTTCCCACTTGTTCTCCACTGAAATGTTCTTCTACTTTTACAATCGAATATCAGAGCTTTTATTGGAGCTTCATTTGATCCTGAGTTTCCGGAAATTTACAATGATTTTATTATTTACACTTTGCAGGTCTGAATTTAATCTCGATAATGAACCGTTAGAAAACATTTAAAAAATCTGATAAAAAATATAAAGTTTACTTAATTAATGTAATTATAAAATTGCAATTTTCTATAAATGAATAAACATTCGCATTGTAGGATCAAAAGGGCGCAAGACCATGATCATCATGTTTTGCCCTTTAACCTCAAGATACTGTGGCCAAAAAAAATTTCCTCGGATCATGAATGCCGTATCACGACTTCCAGCCATTAACCTCCAATTTTCCCTCAAAGTCCTTGAGTTCTCCCCCCAACAATGAGTTAAGAACAATGAGAGCACCCCAAGGGAATACAGAGCGCGGAGAAAAAAATGTGAAAAGTGCAGAGATGTGCACCTGCCAGTCTCGGTGTGGTCTCCCCTAAGATATTCTCCCTCTTCGAGAGCGGCACGAGAGCATAAAGTGGTCCGTCACAGCGGTGGCACTACCCCATACAAATGTTAAGAAATGAAAATGTAAAAATGGCGCTGCGTGAAATTGGTTTTTCTCCGGCCTTAAAGTCTCAACGCAGTTGTAAAATATTTAAGAGCTGCTTCCACGCCCTGGGCCCGTAAAAATTGAAACTTCAAAACCCCACGGACATGACAACAATTGGCCGAGTGATGTTTCACAGGAGGCGGGAGGGCAGGGGGAAGAGTAACAGAGAGCGGTTAAAAATGTTACCACGTTCCCATCAGTGCCAAAAGAAAAATGGTATGAGATGAATGTAACAAGACGTTGGGGAAATTAATCTCGTCTTGATTTTTCATCGTTTGTATTTAATTGCCAACGGAGATAATGATTGAAATTACTAATTACACTTTAACAACGCGTCGGCACGTATTTGCGGTTTAAATGGTGCCACCGAGTGGAGTTTATCCCTGCGGAAAACTTGTTGAAAGATTCTTCAACATGGCAGAATTGTGCGTGAAATCACAATTACGTTCAGGGATCCCCATCAATATTAAATTTCTGTAATATTACGAGAATTTGACCCTTGCATTATTGAAGGTTTAAAACATGTTGATCCAATTTTTCTAATAATATAGTATTAATAATCTGATTTTTTTCGAATAATGATGGACTTAAAATTTTTTAATATGAAACTGTAAATTTACTGCTGAATGAATAATTCCAATTTCTGAAAAGGGGATTTCGATTACACATTACACAAATAATCATCAATCTTCCTATCTCAATTATTGATTGATAAAATAGTTAAAAATTTGAATATTTGAATTGATTATACTTAAAGTAGCTCTACCCTTCGGCCGGGCTACGCTGCACTTTTGGATATTTTCAGTTTTTTAATTTTTCAACTAAATTGCATGGAAAAAATTTAAAAAAATTCATACCCAGTCAGTATTATATATTGATATTTTTTTTTAACATTTCCCTCTTATTTAGCCCGGTGGCCTGGCGTAGTGGTTAAGGTCGTTGCCTCACAACGGACAGGTTCCAGGTTCGATTCCTGGCCGGGGAGAATGGTGAGATCTAGCCATTTTTAAAGTCTTGATCAATCGCCATATAGTCTCATCAGACTCGAAGCGATATAAAATAAGCATAAAAAAAAAAAAAAAAAAATTCCCTCTTATAAATAAATAATAAAACTTGTTTGCGAAAGGGTGGATTATTTTTTATGAGGTGTCAAAAAAATTCTTATTTTTTTCACATTTAATGAAAAAAAAATCAGATTTTAATCTTTGATTACAATGGAAATGTTGATTTTCACATAAGACAGTGGGTTAAATCCTGATTTTTAAACATTTCTTCTTTGAAAAACCAAGACGATAATTAAATTGATAAATAAATTAGAATTCCGAATCTAATCGAGTTTTCTGCAATTTTTTTGCAGTTTTCAATAATTTTTTAATTTACCGTAAGGGTAGAGCTACTTTAAGTACTCAAAAAATTTTAAGAGTGATGTTAACAATTACATTACATCAATTACATTTACATCAATGCCTAAAACAACACCCGAAAAAATAGCACATTATTTTGGGATTTGAGAGGTCTTCAAATGAGATTTTCTAAAAGGATTAATT